TATTGTTTAATGAAAATATTAAAACTCTTTTTTCTGGTTTATTTGACTTTTATTGTCACATGAATTCAGAGTCCTAATGATTAATAATATTATTAATAATAATAATACATTTGATTCTGTGTTTGTATGAAGAAACTCAAACTGGAGTTTTACTGGTGACGTCAACCTGTTTGGACGCTGTGTGACGTCACGGGCCGAGTGCGCAGACTCGGTTTTTAAGGTGGATTTATTATTTCTGGGACATTTCAGTCAGAGTGAAACAATGAGAATCTGTGTTCCTCCTGTCTGTGCTCTTATATTTCTCTCTCGGTGTTTTCTCTCCGTTTCCGTTATCCCGGGAGTCACATGACACCTCGTGCTGCCTTCACTGACCCCGCTGTAAAGGGCGGAAAACAAAGTTTCACATGAGAAACATCTGCAAGAAGCAGCAGACAGTGAAACAGTCTAAATAATTCAATTCATAGATTGAATAATACAGTGTAAATATATATATTTGATAACTTCTCATGTCCTCATCAGCTGTTATATTTATTTCATTACAGTGTGTCACTGTAATATAATATTCATACGTATGTTTGCATTAAATGTTGCTGCGACCTTAGAATGAGACAATGATTCACATCAGATGTTAGATGGTAAAACAAAACTTTACTGTAATAAACACAATATTAGTTATAAGGATATTAGTTCTGTTGATTTCACTGTTAAAGTTGGACATTTGTTCCATAGTTTTTCAAGTTTTTACCATTAAGAGTAAAGTTTTTGTCCTGAGATTTGACGGAGGTAAAAATAAAATGAAAAAATACTTGATGTTTGTATAAGTTCCTATAAAATGCCGTATAAATAAAGCCATGAGGTGTGTTTATGTAGAGTTTACAGTCTTTTACAGTGTAGACTTCAGCTCTATATGCTATGGTCACAAACATACACTGTATAAATAAAACTGTTCAGGGTTAATCATTTCTCTTTTCCTGATTCACAGAAAACATTGTCTCCATCATTTAATCAACGTTTGTTTCATAGTTTTTAGTTTAGTTTTATATCTATTCTTTGATAATTCATTATTAAAGGTCTTTAAGTTTATAATTGTTTCTTCATCTTTAGCTTCAGACTACTATAATCATTCATTCAGAATCGTTCTTATTTAAGTTGATTTATATTCTTTAGAGGTTTTTCACTGAATGTCCCTTTAAAGTCGGAGGACACGTTAATACTGAGGGTTTGAGTGAACCCGGTTCCAGAGGGGTCAACAGCTCCACATTCTGCAGCTGAAAGCACGCTGGAGGTTTCTGTTGTTACCACGTCACTGCGTCTCCCGTCGCCTACATTCCCTCCGGTCCGTGAAGGCAGCAGCAGTCCTGCTTTATCAGCGCGGACCGACGGCAGCTGGGACCAGTTCAGAGCCGGACTGGAGCCCGATGGGGGTCAGAGTGTGAGGAGGACATGTGATGCGGATCCTCTCAGATGTGACGAGAGGAAACTGAAGCTCACAAGGTTTTTTTGTGTCCTGCAGAGACTCAAACTGTCGGACTGAAGTCTGGGGACTGTTGCTGTCCCTCTCACAAAGTGGTTTTTTGGGGATCTGGGAGTGTGAGAGATGTCGGAGGCGGCAGAGAGGAGCGAGAACATTCCTGCAGGAAAAGGAAAAGAAGGAATTCCCAACGGAGGGAATCCTGAGAAAAGCAAAGAGGTGAGTTTGATGGACTCTGGTCCTCTCTGTCTCATAAAGTAGTCCCAC